TGCGGTGGTGGCCGCGTGAGAGTGAGCGAGAGAGAGCCGTGCACCGCCCGCACACACACTCGTATTTCACTCACTCTGTGTGTGTGTCGCCTTGCATGGACTCTCGCCCTCACCTCATCCCACGAAGCACACATATAATGTGCCCATTGTATATATTGCATGCACACCCATGCAGGCCCGTTGGTGCTCTCTTTTGCACGACACGCACCGCTGCCGTCCTGCCTGGCTGCATGGGCGGAGCACCGTAACTGTTTTTGTTTTGTTTTTATTGCATTGAGTGGGCGACCTCTCTCTCTCTCTCTCCCTGTGTGTGTGTTTTGCTTTACGGGAGCAATGAGAGTGTGTGCGCTGGTCGTCCCACGCTTCGGCTTTTTGTTTTGTTTTTCATTGTTTTGTGGTTGAGTGCACCCATTCCGCGGGCTGCGTGTGTGTGTTTGTGTGTGATGATATGAGTAATTTGCGTGTGTGCTATCTGCCTCTCTCTGCCGTTGCTTTCGTCTGACTCTCTTGTGCCGCACAGCTGCTCTGCAATTATAGGCGCTGCCAAACGCACAAGCACATGCACACACATGCCGTGGAGCAGTGTGAACGCTGAGAATGCACGCACGCACAGGATTGTGGCTGCGGCGGTTGCTGTTGCGAGAGAGGCTTAGGGACTGCGATTTGCCTCGTTGGCATTTTGCAGTAGTTATGTTTGCGACGTGCAGCCAGTAAGTGGTGTGGCAGCGAGGGTGCCTGGGATAAGTGCGGATTGTTTCCAGCCTGGCAGCTGTAACTGCGGACGTTTTTTTCCCGCTGTGGATTTGTCGAAGAGGTATTTTCCGGCTGTGCGGGGTGATGTCCGAATGCTTTGGAGGAGACAGCGGTGAAAGGAATGGCGGCAGTGCGTCGGTGCTGCGGAGGGCAGCTGTGCCCTTTTGCATTCCTCAGGTCTATTTGTGTGTGGGCGTTTCTCGGTGTGTGCTGAGGTGTGGCGAATAACGACGCACCCTCCGTGACTCCTGCTTGTGGTGTTGGCAGCCGCTGTGTGTTTCCGGTGCACTGTTCCTTCGTCTCCTGTTCCGTGTGTCTGTGTGCGTGAGTTGTTGTTGTTGGGAGTGACTGCGGCGGGGATGATAATCCCACTCACTGTGGAGGGGTGACGGTGTTTACTGTTGTACCTCTTTTATTGGGCATTTCTTTTCTATTTATTTTTTCTTCATTTATTTCTTACTCACGAAGAAGCAAAGAAGCGCTACCGTGAAATTTGAAGGCACTGAAGGGACTAACAGCACACACACCGCCCACACACACATATTTATATGCACTCACGTGTTGCTGCAGTTATGGCACCCCGCACACACAACCTTCGCCGCGTGACCGGATCCAGCGGAAGGAGGAGGGAAGGAAGAGAGAGTGAGCCGCAGAGGTCCAACATGTCCCGGCGTGCGTTTACTTCCGCGGTGCTGCTCCTTCTCGTCGTGATGATGTGCTGCTGCACCGTGCAGCCTGCTGTGGTGCCAAAGTCAGGGCGGGGATCTACAAAGAGGAAATTGTTTTTGCTGCAGACGACGCTGGTGCAGCCGAAGGATGGGGTTGTTCCAGTTACGACGAGGGATTCATTTGTTGCACCTTCTCTCGTCAGTGCTGGTGGAGTAATTGCTGCTTTCGCCGAAGATCACATGGATGCCGAATATCAAGATGGTCAAGGAATTAAGTAAGCCCTTTTCTTCTGATGTAGTTGCGGGGTACATTGACACTGCGTGGAATTGGTCCACTGTTGTTGGTGAGGTCAATAAAAGTATAAGTGGAGGGCACACACTGTGCTTGGAGCAGCGGAGGGAGAGGAGAGTTTGGGTGCTGTGCTCCGCCCCACAACAATCACGAAGGACAACGGAGTGTTTCTTCTTGTGGGAGACTCTGATGTGTCCTATGAAGGTGGGTGTTGGAGAGAGGGCGGATTGGAGCTGAAACTGCTTGTAGGTGATGTCACGAATCCCACGGGTGGCAAGCAGAGTGGACGGATCGAATGGGGCGGCCCCAAACCACTCTCGAAGAGGATCTCTTCTGCTTCTCACAAGGGTGAGTGGACGGAGTTCATTGCTTCTGGTGGCGTAGGTGTTGTGATGGAGGATGGCACGCTTGTGTTTCCTCTGATGGCGAAGGATGAGGCAGAAGACGTTTGCTCCATGATCATTTACTCGACGGACAGCGGCAGTGCCTGGGCGCTCTCTGAGGACATTTCCCCTGCGAAATGCCTTAACCCCCCGCGACACCAAATGGGAGGGATCACTTCTCATGATTGTTGACTGCGAGAATGGTCAGAGGGTGTACGAGTCGCGTGACATGGGGACAGCGTGGACGGAGGCCATCGCGACACTCCCAGGCGTGTGGGTCATAAAACAGGAGTCTCTCAGAAGGAAAGCCTGCAAGCGGATGCCTTCATTACCGCGACCATTGAGGAAAGGAAGGTCATGCTGTACACTCAGAGAGGGAATGCCTCGGGGAAGAAAAGGGCCACTGCGCTCTTCCTTTGGGTCACGGACAAAAACCGCATGTTTTCTGTTGGACCGGTTGGCATGGACAATGCTGCGAATTGGATTTCCGCCAGGACCCTGCTGCACTCGGATGGCAGTTTGCGTCTTTTACAACGAAGGGGCAACGGTGAGGGCCGTGTCATTTCAGTTTTCCCGCCTGACGGAGGAACTGAGTGCAATCAATTCCGTCTTCAGTAATTGGGCGCAAAAGGGCATTTTCTTCTCCAGCTTGTCTACACCCACGGCGGGTCTTGTGGCAGTTTTGTCCGGTGCGGCCAGCGATGACACGTGGAACGACGATTACCTTTGCCTGCATGCGATGGTGAAGGAATGCAGTGAAGGTCAACGATGGGCTACAAGTGACGGGACTTGAGTCCAGGGCAATATGGCCTGTGAACATTCGGGGTTAATAACGTGCGTCGTATTATTGAGCCACGACTTCACACTTGTGGCGTCGGTGACCATCGAAGAGACACCGAATGGGAATACTCCTCCACTGACTGCGATGCTGGCGGACACTGCGTCCAATCGTACCATGGGACTGTCCTACAGCCATAATAAGAAGTGGGAGACGTCGTGCGAAGGCAAGAGAACAACACGGACCAGCACTTGGGAGCCGAAGAAAGAATAACAAGTGGCACCCGTGCTGCAAGGCAACAAGGCCTCTGTGCACATTGATGGTCATTCGCTGGGGGAGGAATAAACGCTGTTAACAGGCGAGAAACCACCTGATGCCCTGAGGTTTTGCTTTGGCGCGTGCGGTGAGCACGAATCTCATGTGACGGTGACGAACGTCTTTCTGTACAACCGCCCGCTGAATTCCACTGCGATGCGTGCACTCAGGGACAGGATCCCCGTTCCGACGAGAGAAGCGGCTCCGACACCGCCCGAGAAGATCCGAGTGGTTGACAGAGTCAGAGAGCACATTGCTGGGGATATTACAGAAGAGAAATGAATGGGCACGACGCCCTGGAAACGAATCCCCACTACAAAAAGTCACCTCGCGGGGTGTGGAGCGGCGTGAGTCCCGGCGACCGCCTCGCCTCTCCCAACGACGTGAAATCGATACTGCGTGATTTAATTGGTAACAACACCGTGCGTGTGTGCGTGTCTTGTGTGCCGCTGCTTCCTCTGGGATTGTATTTGTGTCGTGGCAGCCTTCTGAGCCGCAGAGTGTGGATTAGCGACTCCTCACGGAGAATGCACGCCGCATTGCCTGTGCTTTTACTGTCTGTTTTTTTCAATGCTCTTACTTTGTAATGTTCTTTTTAATGCAGTTTAGCTGGAGTAATAAGTACTGTTGGTTTTTATTTGCGTAATGTTTAGTTACTGCACACTGTAATGAGCGAAGTGTTTCTCCTCTTTTTTTTTTTTTTTTGTTTTCCACACACGGTGCCGGCGCTGCGGCTGTGCGTCCCACGGACTGCGCGAAAGGAGGATTGGAGAGACAGGCCGGATGCCGCATGAAATGTGAAGGATGTTGTGTGGGCTGGTGAGACAGTACTTTTTTTTGTTTTAATTTGATTTTCTTCTTGGTGCGGGCAATGTGTATATTACACAACCACACGGTTCTCTTGTGCTGCTCGGCACATGAAAAAAAGCCCTGCCGAATCAAATTTTACTAATTTTTTAATTTTACTTTTGGGAGTCATGCCGGAGCCTCAACCTTTTTTGCTTTTTCCTTTTGTAAATCCCTGCGGGTTCTTATTGTTGTTCTTGTACCCGCTGTCACTGTGTGTCTCATCGCGTCCCGTCGAGTCTCCCACTGTTGGCTGTGCTGTTGAAATGCCCTCATTCCTTTTCCTTATTCCCTGCTAGAGGCGCCGATGGTCCGCGACGACGATTGTTTGTGTTTCCCATTTTTTGATGGCACGAGGGTGACTGGGCGCGGCCTGCAGAGCGCACTCGGAGTGGAGCGGATGGTGTGCGCCGTGCGTTATTGTGAGTGTGGATCGACACCCGTTAGAGAAGAGAGAAGTAAAGGACAGCGCCGTGGACTTGTATGCGCCCCGTCCCTCTCGTCGCCGCCGTGTGTGTGCCGTGCGCATGGCTCTATCTTGCGGTGCGACGTGGATGGCGGTGCTTCTGCGTGCGTTGTGCGGCGGGCTTCTCTTCTCCATGTCTTTCCCCTTTTGTGTGTGGGAAAGTTGTGGGAAAGGATATGTGCGGGAGAGTGAGCGTGGGTGGCTGCCAGCCTTGCCCTGCGCATTGGGGACTTCCATAGACGTAGATTTGCTTGACGGCGTTTCGCGGCTTCCAGGGCGTAGAGAGGAGGAGGATGGAGAGGGTCTGTTGTGGGCAGAAGGAGGATGGACAGGACAGTCCCCTTCCGTGTCCTTCTCGGTGTCGTTGGCAGTAAATACTGAGAGCATAAATTTGAGCGAGTGCGGGATGAAAGGTTTATGCCGCTTTGTGTGTGCTACTCAATCGTCGTCATTGCAGGCTGTCGTTACGCTGCGTTGTGGTGCGGTGCCGTTTGATGAGGGAGGGGCGCGATGCCACGGCTGCTGCGCACCACAACCATTTATTGCGTCTGCATCGGCATTGTTGTTTTTCAGTTTGTGTGAATTTTTTCTGCGCTCGCATAATATTTTATTTTGCTCCACGATGAATTTGTTGGAGGAGCTTTGGTTTTGGTGCCTGCTTCACGGCGCTTCGCCTTGTGTGTCGGTTGCGGTGCTTCCACGTGGTGCCAAGGCTTTTGATGGGGTGTTTATTCTTCTTTTTGCGCCCTGCAGCTAATCTTGTTTGGCCATGGCGGCAGCAGTGGGATTCTGCGACTGCGCGCTTGCCGTGCGTGTCTCATCTTTTGCCGTTGTTCCCTTGCTGTGTTGGTGGGGAGGAGACGAGCGACTGCGTCGGTGGAGTTGCGCCCCCGTGGGAGAGGGAAGGCACCGACCGCTGCTGACGGCGACGGTCTTTGCTGCAGGCGATGTGACGGGATGACGTCACCGGCGTCACAGTTAACCGAGATGGATGTGGGCCGCACTGCATCTCCCACCCCTCTCTTCATCCCCTCCGTCCACTGCAGTCACACGCCACACGCACCGCAGAGCAGCGGCGCGACCACCATCTGGATGTCTGTGAGCCAATCGGAATGCAAAATCGGTGTGGACCCTTTTCCCCGTGTTTGAGTGCTGCCGCCGTGCTTCTTTATTTTTCCTTTGTTGTGTATGCCGTGCGTGTATGGTGCCGCTGCTTGCTGCGCAATGCCGACTCGCGTGAACTAGAAACGACACTTTGACTGCTGGCGACCGGCGAGCTCTCCACTCCACTTACGCACCACCAACGCCAACGCCTTTCGGACGCGCTTGATGGCTGGCGGTTGTAACGCTGCCACATGGTCTGTCTCGGCTCTTGTGTGTCGTGCACGGCATCGGGACCGCCCTGTGATGCAGCCATTCGGCAACAGGAGCGGTGCCAGTGGTCATGTGGCTTTTTGCCGGGGTTCCGCCACTCGGCGCGGTGGCTTTGTGGGGTTGTGTGGGCGGTGGGAGGGCAATGGTGTCACTGACTTGATTGCGTCTGCGCGGCTTTGTGTCGGCGGCTGTAATGTGATGGGGATTGTATATGACCGGATGCCTCTGCGTGCCACTGTGTTTGGTTACTGTTGTTGCTGCCTTTTATTTCTTTTCTGAGCGTGCAGTTAGAGATACTTTTGTTTGAACAGCACAATTATCGTTTCAAGGTGTTAGGGATTAATTTCAGTATTAGGATTAGCAGTATCAGTATAACAATCTGGCGGAATCGTGTCACTGGATTTGCCATCTGTAGGAAGGGATTTGCTAGGCAGGGGTTATGGCCGACGGGACGAGTGCGACACACCACGACGGCCCTTTTGGTTCCTGTTTGGGTTGGTGGATGTGGTCTGCGGAGGGTGCGTGTCTGCGCGGCCGGCACCGCTTGCAGTGCAGGGCCATTGCGGCTGTGCGTGTGGCGCTGCTCATTGTGTTGGCGCTGGTTGCGGCGGCGTGGATGCCCGCGGTGCATGCGGTTGTATTGCGACTGCGGGGCGGTACGGTGGACAGGGGCATCACAATTGGCCGCGCCGTGGACAAGGTGCTGATGGACGGCGTGTCCATCACGAACGGCGTGGCTGTTGTGTTCGACGTTGCGGCGATGCTTCCCAGCGCGCTGCGCATCGAACTGAGGAACTGCGTGTGCGACGGCGGTGCGCAGATCTACGTGCGGGGCTACAGCGGCGAGCCGACGAGTGACCGGAGCCTGGAGGTGAGCGTGAGCGGGCTGTCCGGCGACTACTGCTCGCTTGTGTTTGTGCACAACCTGCCGGCACAAACGAACGTGACGGTCCGTGACTCGACGATTGTGACGCCGGGGCCGATGCGCTACTCGCAGCTGAGCGGGCTGACGGACGCGGTGGCGTCGCCGCTAGTGCTGCACGCGACGTCGCTGTTGCAGTCGCAGCTGCGTGTGAGCAACACTGTGCTGAGGTCGTTGCACGCGGGCGGGTCGGCGGTGTACGTTGGCGGCGGCGTGGACCTGCTGTCGAGCGCGGTGGTGCTTGACGGTGTGTTGCTGGAGGCCTCGGGCGGTCCGTCCGCGTCCGCGATGCATGTGGCGTCCTCGTCGCGCCTCAGTCTGCGGACCCACTCGGTGTTCTCCGTGACAAACGTGTCGGTTGTGAGCAGCGGCGGTGGCTTTGTGCTTGGCGAGCGCCTTGCGGTGTCCGACTCGGTACTGCGCTTCGTTGGCGTTGAGGGGTCTGTTGCGTCGTCGCTTGTGCGCTGCGACGGTGGGACGGTCGGTGCCGGCGGGTGGCTGAGGCTGCGCGACGTGTGGGCGGTGGGCGAGGCGTCGTCGGTGGCGTCGCTGTCGGGTGTGACGCTGAGCGGCGGCGCCGTGTCGATTGCGCGCTGCGCTGCCACCGGCGCTACGCTTGTCTCCGGGCCGACGATCACGAGCGGCGTCGTGTCCGTGCAGTGCAACCGTGCCGGTGGTCGGGTGCTGCAGAGCAGCGGCGACTACCGCATGGCCGGCCTGCCCTCCGTGAGCGTGGTGCCGTGCGACGGCTGCGCGGTTGCGCTGGCGTGCTTCGATGGACTGACGGCGTCGTTCACCGACTGCGTGAGCAGATGCCGTGCCAGCGGTGTGGGCGAGGCGTGCCTGCCGTTCGACGTGCCGCCTGCGAGGGTCGGCGGTGGTGGTGGCGGTGCGCAGGGCTGCGTGAGTGGCGTGACGCTGACGGAGTCCGTGACGGTTGGCGGTGGGCGGGCGACGGCGTGCTTCGACTCGGTGGTGTTCAGCGGGCCGATCACCGTGGCGCTGGACCTGCGCTCGATGGACGCGTTCGCTGACGCGCTGAACGTGACGCTGCGCCACTGCGTGCTTGCGGAAGGTGCGCAGCTGCGGATTGGTGGCCTCAGCGAGAGCACGGCGCGCCTGATGCCCCACGCCCTCGTCAACATGACGAACGTGACGTCGCTGGAGGGCACGATTGTGCTGCATGGCGCGATGCCGCTGCACTCGAGTGTGCTGCTGGTGAACTCAACGCTGCGCGCGACGGTTGGCGGGTCGCAGTACGTGCCGACGACCCCTGGCTACGAAGGATTCCGGTACGGCCCCGCGCTTGTACTGGACGGTGTCCGGCTTCTGTCGACGCGGTTTGTCATGACGCGGTCTACGCTGGTGTGTGGCGGGGGTTCGTGCGCTGCGATCCTCGTGGAGCGCGGCCTTGGCGTGAACCTGTCCAGCGTTTTCTTCATGAACAGTTGCATTCTTAGGTCGCAGACGCACGTGATGTACGCTCTTGCATCGGACCTGCGAGTCAGCGGCGGCTCCGTGTTCTCCATACGGAACAGCTTGTGGAGTGCTCCGAGCATCGAATACTATGAAAGTGCGTGTGTGTTTAAGGATGTTGCGGTGGATGGCGGCAGCGTGCTGCAGATTGTGTCCAGCGCTTTCCGTCTCGGCTTCGCCATGCTCATGGCAACCACGCTGACTGTGACTGACGGCAGCTGGCTGGTGCACCGCAACAACGAGGTCCACATCGCATACGTTGTGTACGTGGTCAAGGAAAACGGCGTTGCGTTCCGCGATCAAAGTGTGTGGTCGATACTTGACAACAAACTCGCGTATGGCTCGTACTCGTCGACCCATGCACACATGACAAACGATTGGTTACCACCGTCCGACACGCGCCCGATCATCTACGGCGTGTGCAACGAGGTAATGGGCTCCCCTGTGACGGATTACCTAGAAGAACTCAACATTGGAGTGCCCGTGACGGTGTTGGACTGCGGCGCGTGCACCGTGGAGGCCGTGTGCTTCGCTGCGAGGACGAGCAGCATCAGCGGCTGTGAGTGCGTGTGTGCTGCTGGGGGCTACGGTGACAAATGTCTGCCAGCTGCGGTTCCGGACGGCCTTGGGTCGCTCCCGCTCTCCGAAGCGAAGAACACGGAGGTCCGCTGCGTGCACGGTGGCAGCATCAGCTCTGTGGACTATCCTGATCCCGGTGTGCGTGGTCTGTGCTTCGTCAATGTGACCTTCACCGCCGCGATCGTGCTGGACCTGTCGTATTTTGACGCATCACAACATACACTAAACATCACGCTGCTTCATTGCGTCCTCATGAGCATGCTGATTAAGGGAAGTGGTGCGCGCGTGCATGTGAACGTGACATCCTCGATGATGGATTCTGGTGAGCTGGAGTTCAGGGGTGATTTTGGAGCGAGCTCCCAGATACTCGTGGCGGGCAGTACGCTTGTGACGACGTCGGAGCACGCCATTTTATTTGTGAAGTTTACTCTCAGTGCGAAAATGACGCTGCTGCTACTTGACAACTACATCGAGGGGAATAGGCACGCAGTCTATTTCATCAATGATGTTGTTGTTGATGGTGGCGGGATCATTGTGAAGGGAAATACGCTGAGTACAACGAAGGATGATGACGGTGTGGAATCATCTGTTTGCGTTAATGCTGTTGCTGTGAAGAACGGCGGCTACTTTGACGTGGAGAACAACACGATGGGCTCGGCTGTTGGCGTTATTCTTTTTGGGGATACTACCGTGAGCTCCGCGGGGCTGCTGCGAGTGGCGGACTGCACCTTCGTTGGCGGGACGGAAATTTTTGATCCCGCGCTGGTGTATTTGTCTGGCTCGGTGACACTCGAGGGTGGTGCGCAGTGGCGTGTGGAGGGAAACAGCGTGGGTGCAGCCTCAGTATTAACCATTCAGTATTCCTGGCAAAGAATTTATTTGTCGGGCAGCGGCACCACTGTGGCGCTTGCAAAAAACCGTCAGGTGGAAGGAAACGCACTCTTCGCCAAGCTCTTTAAATCGAACACGATTGTTGAGTCACCCGCGCGCTTTGTCGTTGGGTGCAACCTGCAGGGTGATGAGGAGGTGTCGTACGACGGCGTGTTTCCGGAGGGCGTGGAGGTGTTCAGGTGCGGCACATGCGACGACGACGCGGCGTGCTACATGCCCGGGACGGAGTTGGTGGACCGCAGCTCGTGCTCGTGCAGCTGCAAGGACGGATGGCATGGCGCGTCGTGTCTTCCCCTCGAGGTGCCCGACGCGGTTGTGCCGCCCGCAGCGGAGAGAGCCGTCGACGGCGACACGAGCTGCGTGGTGAACCAGACGCTGAAGAACCTCACGCTGAAAATGTGGAAGACGCACCACTGCTACGCGGGTGTGACATTCAGCGGCATGGGTGCCGTGCTGACGTTCTTTCTCAACAGCATGCCGCTGCATCTCCCCATCAACATCACGCTCACTGGGTG